TTGTTGAGCAGCGCCCTCAACACTGTGCCCGAATAATATGCGGACACACCCAGGCCACGCCCGTTGTTGTTGAACAGCGCCCTCTACGCTGTACCTGGGTAATCACCGGATACACCCAGGCCACGCCCGATTTTGTCGTGCAGCGCCCCCATGGATTTTGTCAAGCCTCAGGAACTGCACACAGAAGCTGACTGTGAGTGAACTGTGACCTGATGTGAACATCGATGCTGAACTGTTGACGTATTCATGTGTTTGTTACTTATGTACACTTGTGTTTTTTGATTGGTTGATGGTTATTGTTCATTTATTGTTGATAACATTGGCTTTGTTAGGGACAAATTAGCTGATTTTATTATTCATTGAGGGACCGATTAGCACATTTAAACTCAAACTCTAATTAGCTAAGGTTAGGTTTTCTTTCTTTGATATATTTTCAGGATATCCTATCTCACATATTTATATGCATATGCTAATTATTGTACCTTTGTTTATTTTACTGAAGTGGATTACATTAAAGATTGTGGAGTTAAAGTGCCTGTGTGTGCCGCCTGGTTTTGTTGCCCCTGCTTTCGGTCTTGGTGACTATATCAATGAACCACATGTATCTTTCCTGTGCCGAGCCCCAAAATTTATCTTTCCCGTACACATTTGTCCCACTGAATCAATGATCTGTGAGGCTTTGTGAATGGTGTGTTACAGTTACATTTCTCAACATTCCACAGAAAGTGTCGGTATGGCTCCTTCACGCCATCTTACCCAAGAGCTGACCTACTTTCTTGTGTTTGGCAACATTTTCATGATTATTTACTACATTCTTTTAATCTTGACTTCTTATTATGTTTTTATATAAATATCAAACTATGAATAAGACAGCATTTTTGAAAACTAAGAAATACAATCTCTCAGATTGAGGTGTAAATGTGACCACTGGCCGAGACTGATTTCTGGATTCACAAACACACCACCAACTGTTAGTACCCGGTAATCAGTCAAGGCTTGGAGAATGGTAATTTATGTTTAATTGTTGCCCATATGTTCCATAGAATCTTTGATATTTACATAGAGACACTTGGTGATTCAGAAAACATTCTGTAATAGATTATGTACCATTGCTTTTTGTGATAAGTGTCATTTTTTATTTTTAACATTTTTATCAATGCCATATTGTTTCTCACCAAAATATTCAATTAACAATTCAAAATTTTTTTTTATTTGAATTTAGACTAAATAGACGTAATTTTCAATTGCCCACATAATTGTTGAAAAAAATTATGCAGGTTTAATATTAACTTCTATTTGTCATAATATTGAACAAATTAAAGACAAATGGTGCTTTTCAGGACGAAAAGCGGCCTTATTACTAAAAGTTGATTTTAGTATTTAAAGAATTAAAAGAGGCTTTTGTTTAAGATTGAAACTTATAATAAGCATTATTCTTATTATTAAAATTATTTTTAATATTAACAAGCAGGACTCAAAGATATACTAACTAAATTACTAAACATTTATTGTATCAGGAGAATGCGGCACTTTGTGATGAAGTTGCTCGAACACAAGAAAAGTTAGTCAAAGTCAAAGACGAGAGAAAATTTCTTTTGAAAAGACTTCTTCAGTATCAAACACCGAGTGAAGTTGCTTCCATCACTACCTCAACTAGCCATTCTATGGTAGACGCATCACAGGCATCCATGTTTAGTGGCCTTGCTGATTCTACACAATGTAGTGGGCCCCAGAATCTGAATATATCAGTTGCAAGTACCAGCAGTGGTGTCAGCAGCTCTAAACATAAAGAAGGAACAAGTAAAGAGAAGAAGGAGAAAAGTAAACAGAAGAAAGAAGCAGGTAAGGGTAGGTCTTATTAAAGGTCACACTCCCTGGCACTTGCTGGGGGTATTGACCCTCAAAGGTCACACATCCTGGCACTTTTTGATGTATTGACCTTAAAGGTCACACATCCTGGCCCTTAATGGTGGCATTATCATTGTCTTTTATGATGATTAGATCACAAACAACCTGTGGAGCATAATGTTTTCTGCACACAGTTTGGTGCAACAGTTTGCATGTTTTTATGTATTTGTTTATAATGTTTGTTGGACTCACAAAGTTGAGTTTCTTAATTCAGTCACTGTATT